TGATGGCCAGACCAGTGCCACAGTGACCTTTGGTGATTGGTGGTTTAAACTGGTGCAGTGCGTTGTTTTATAGATAATTTATTTTCAAGATTCAAGAGAGTAACTGCAAAAAGCAGAATAACGACAAAAAACGGTACAATAAATGATCGGGTAACTGTCAACCAAAATACCCAGACTTTATATTTCCTGCTGCAAAGACAACTTTATTCAAATAACAGAATTTAAATACAGAAATAAGACAGATTTTATGGTTTTGGTATTCTCGTTTATCAGATTCTCCTTCTCAATACTCCTCAAGATGAAAACAGAATGACACTGTCATTTTCAATTTTTATTAATTTTCCACATTGAATAAACAGATGAATAAACAGATTATATTAACAACATAAGGCTATAGAGTCTTTGAAGCTCATTGTATAAAAAGAAAGAATGCTGAAACTACAGAGGGTTTCTGCTGCAAATAATAATTAAAATTCAGATTTTGGCAAAACTACTTGGCAATTACATTGTACACAGGATCTGATCCCATACAGTGAAATTATTGACAGCTCAATTATACTGGCCCAAGTACTTTCCACTGCGGCAACAACACGCACACAGAAACACACGCACACAATCACACGACACAAGTCAGGCCGAACTGGTTGGTGTTTCTTTTTTAAACTAGAAACAAACAAAATCAGTGCGTGTGTAGTGTTTACTGTAGTGTGCTGCTTTATTGTTTTGTTTTGCCATGTAGAAGCTGTAATAAGATACGCTGGTTTCCTGTCATGTATGGAGACGTGGAGACTAAGGCCAGAGGGGTCTATTCTAATGACTTTAGAGAGAGGGGGGATCTGAAAAAGAGAGGCAGAGAAGCCACAGAGAGAGCAAGAACAAGCAAGATGCACAAGGTTTCCGTTTCACTGGGTCGCTTATAGACATATTTCCAATTTCATGTTCATGGCTTAATAATTCCCTTTGAGTGTGTGCGTGTGAGTGTGTTAATGTCAGCACTCTTGTAGCTCGGTCTGCCTTGGACCTCTTCACCCATGGAAGTTTGGATCAAAGTCTTCTTCAGAAAGCTCCTCCAGGTTGATTCTTTCAAGGCTTTAACATTCAGTGTCTTCAGGCAGTTTTTTAAAGGTCTCTTTACACCAAGCAGCAGATTTTAGCAGCACCTGCACGTGGACCAGCTACCAATGATTTTCCAGTGGAAAAATACTGCTATACGGCGTAACATCATCATATTATAATCAAAACATGCACCTAGCACCTGCAGTATAACCATCTTCCAATTGTCCTTGAGGTGTTTGGAGCTCAGTGTTTTTTGGCAATACTTGCATGCACAACACGCTTTAACGTTACAAGCTACAGTCAACTTGAATGTGATTTCATATTTCAATGTGGCAAAATAACAGTTTGCACTTTTTAAAACTATTAACATTAGTTAAGTTTTTGGACATACAATGCCATTACAGGCCCATGAGCATGTTCTCATACTGTTTGTGTGTCAAACATGACACTGGATGCCGTATGCACACAAAGGACCATTGATTCATTTTTTTTTGGTGGTTCAATATAAGTACAGATCAAACAAATATAAAGTGTCTCTCTTTTGAAAGTATTGCACATGTTTGTTTTAGTATTGACCGTACTTTCCTGCAGCACAGGGATAACAGGAATTCTTAAAATAGCTAGAATTACAGCTATAGTTACCATTAATGGTCAGAAAATCCAAACAGTGTTGATATAGTCAGTGTTTTTCTGTTTACACTCTCTAAGTTTATGATGAGTGATGAAGACAACAAAATAGGGCTGTAGTGAACGGGATACAATCTACTGTATGGATTCATTTTCTTAAGATCAAATATAAAAATGTAATGCTTTAATCCACTACAACTGACTGTTATCTTTTACTACACCAACCTGCACATCACTGGTGACCTCCACCCAAGGACTAGATAGACATTATATCTGGTGCAATAAATGTATTGTGCATTTTCCCTGTTAAATGAGCTAAAAATAAAAATAAGCAAGCATAAAAAACAAAAGTAAGATATATTTTACTAATATCTGTAACCACTGCACCACTTCCATACAACCAGAAAGCTTTAAAAAGTTCTTCATTATGTTATCCCTATTATCTGTCTCACATAGACGCTTTATTTAGTTAATGAACCAGGGAAGTCTTTTTACAACACTGTCCACAGAAGAGATAGAACTACCAACTACTGACAACTACACATGACTAAACGTTTCACCTGTCAGTTCTCAGGAAAAGTGTGCTTATGTACGTCAGGTGAGGGTGTGTATGGAGGCAGGTCCGGGCCAGTTGGGTGGGGTCAGGGTGGTGACATCACATTAGGAGGCACCGCGTGAAAAACCAAGACAGGAAAATCACTGAGGACAGGGAGAGGGAAAGACTGTATGTGTGTGTGAGCATGTCGTTTTCAGAGGAAAGAACTTGTGTGTGTTTGTGAGCGAGCTGTTTGATATTGGAGTTACAAACCAAAGTTTGTGTGTGTGTTTGCTATGAGGTGTGTATTTGAGGAAGGCAGAAAGAGGGAGCTATGCAGAGACCCAGCAGCTGTCATGTAAGTGTATGTGTGTATTGTGGTGCAGGTGTTTGTGCTGACTCTGTATCCTGTCAAGTTGTTACCAGATCTGTCTGTCCTTCACTTTTCCATTTTCTGAACTTTCTGGGCTCGCTGTTGGGATTAAACTAACCGATCAATTATTTTATCATCTGTAAAGTGTCTGAATAAGATTTAACTATTGAATGTGTCTGTTTTTCTCTGTCACCTGCCTTCTTATTCTAACTTTATATGTTGGGTGACCTTCAATCAATTTGGTTTTATTATAGGGTCTAAGGATATTGCGTTACTATTTGCTTTTAAATTGTTGCATTGTAGTAGTAGTAGTAGCAGTAGTAGTAGTAGTAGTAGTAATAGTAGTATCAATAAATGCATTATCTTTTGTTTATATATGTTGTTTTAAGGGTCCAGTGTGAAAATGAGAATTGTTATGATTTTGTTATCTTAGAATGAACCTTTTACATCTACAGCCGCTGCGGGTGGCTTCCGTGGAGGTTGCCATGTTGAACCGCCATAGTTTCTCCGTTGCACTTAGAAAAGGGAGTGTGAAGCGAGTGAGTTGCAATCTGCAACCACACGGCTAAATTTAAAGGGATTTGAAGCCAAAATGGTCGGAAACCTCTGTGCTACACCATGAAGAAGAATACTTTTTACTTTTGATTTCCCCTCAAACAATCATGTCAATCCTTGTCTATTTGTTATAGCTGTGCCTTTGAGCTTTGACCTCACTACTGTTTGTTTTAGGGAATAAGGAACTGTCCAATTTTATGACCATTGTCAGTCTTGAGATTTAAGTGTCCGCTACACTTTTATAACTACTCAAACTCACGGTCTGTGCTGCCATCAGGGGCCATGGATGATTGAAGACACTGACGTCTGTTTCTGT